ACGTCGCCTTTCCTTCCTAGAAGCGTGCAGGCCTCTGAGCCTCCTGGGCTGGTGCTCAAGCCCAGGACAGTGCCAGGAGGACGACCCCCTGGCCTGCTGCACAGAAAGACTCCTGAGCTCCCCCACCATGGGGTCCCTGGGGTGGGCCGGTCTGCACAGCAGTGGCCTGGGACCTGCACTTTGCGAAGTGCTGTCTGGCTTGAGGGATGTTTAACTAAGCAGTCTCGGGAGCAAGGAGGAGGAAGGACTCCTGACCAAGCCACACAGCAGGGACAGGAAGCCCACGGCCCCTGCTGTGAGAAGAGCTCAGCTCTTTGCCACATGCTGGTGTCACATGGCAGAGGAGGCATAAGAATAACAGGAGTTTTGGAAGCCAGATTTGGTGGCATACTCAGTGTAAGATATGCATTATGAGTAGGTGTGAAACTGTCATCTCTACTCTGTGTGCTTTCAGTCCACTCAAGGTCTTAGGCAGTGTCCTGACTACAATTCCAGCTGTTCTCTCTCTGAGAATGGGTGGGTTTGGCTAGGGATTACTCACAGTGAACTGCTTTTCGGGGAGCGTTGCTGACTGTCTTAATTACATTTTGGTAATCTCCTTTTAATTACTTACCTCCTGTGCATTCCCCAGAGGAAAAGGATGGGTGGTATCATATTTAATGAGCTTAAGGATGATGCATTAACTATTCCTATTATTTGTTACTTCATTTCCCTTCTATTAAAAAAACACAACGAGCCGGAATTAAACTTGAGACGAACAGTCTCAGGTTCTTCCCAGGCTGCCTTTCCCTGCAGCCACCCTGGAGGAGGCTGGCCTGCTCCCTCACTCAGGACAAAGGGACCTAAACTCTGCAGCCAAGACTGCAGGACCCAGGTGGTCCATCTCTGCCACCACCTCCTGCTCCACTGGCAAATAAACAGGAGAAAAGAAAACTCACACCTGCTCTGTCACTCACTCTGAGCAGAACCCCTTGCCCCGCGGTCACTCCCTCTCCTCCTGCCATGTTCCCTGCAGTGTCACGCTGCCCTTCCAGCCCCAGGCTGCCCTTCCAGCCCAGAAATCATTTGCTCAAGGATTTACTTGTCCTCCTGGTAAAGGCACACTTTCCTGATTTGTCTAAGCTCAGGTGTTCGCATCTTGGCCAGGTGCATCCTCCAAGGCCAATTTAGGGGGTTGATCCCACTGACTTCCCAGAAAACAGACTGCACACTGCCGAGACAGGGCAGGACGTGGCCGGTGCAGGGGTGCTGTGCCGCAGGGACGGAGACACTTCTGTGTCTGCTGGTTCCCAGTCCACATGGTTCGATCCCGTCTCCAAGCACCTCTTCACCCTTGCTGTGATTTTCTCACCAGGATGTTGAGCAGGGGCTTCTGGAGGTGAAGTCGACTCTTTGTGAAGAGAACTGGGCAAACTACCCAATGTTGGGGGAGGCAAGCTGACGATACATAAAGCTTTAGGAATGTTCTCTCCTTGGTCCGGCAACTCCAGGGTCAGCAGAGGCTCCTTGTGACTCGTGCATGAGGACACTCAGGCTACACTGAGGCGGGGCGGCAGACACAGAGCTTCAAGCGTCTCCTCCACTTGCAGGTCCTTTAGGGACATTTTGCTATAGCCCCCGCGCAGCCTAAGACAGTCCCCATGTCACTCAGAGTCAAAGCCGAAGTCTTTTCAAGCACCCCAAGCCCACGGCCGCCTGGGCCCCTTTGCTCCCTGGCCCCATCTCCTTAGGCCTCTCCTTCCTCTGCCCCCTCCTGCGGGTGCCATTGAAATAGCGGCACTGGCAGTCCCTGGCCCGATGTCACTGCTCAGATATCGCCCCTTGACAGGCCCTCCTCTCTGCTTTGCTCCACTTTTCTCCCAGCTGCTGCTGGAACCCGACATGTGACTGAGTCACTCACTCCCGCCCTGCCCCCCTTGCTAGAACGAGGGCTTCTGGAGGCAGGGACTGCATCTGTTTGGTTTGCTGCTGAACCTCGCTAAGTGCCTGGTACACATGGGCCGTGGGAAACACGAGCCATGGGAGAGTGAATGAACCCACACTGATGGAACGGCCCGTGCCAGGTGAAATCCATGCTTGAGAGGAAAATGAAGACCCCAGAGAATGCCAGTGCTACCACAGGAGAGAACAGGCCAGGGGGCCCCTGGAGGAGAGGCCAGCAGACCCAGAAGACGAGAGCTGGACCCCTCATCGATCACATCAGCACATCGGTGAGTAATGCCTAAGACTCATCATTCAGGAAATGGCAGGGCAAGAATATTACTGCGAGACAGGAACATATGCAGCTGAAGAAACAGCAAAAGATCAAATGGAAAGGGACTGCTTCCGGGGAGCAGACAAGAAGGTTCAACGGGGGAGTCAAGTGATCTCTGGTTTTAAATCTTTTGCAACAATTCAATTTTATTTCTGTATCAGCCTATGTTATGTTGATACAAATAAAAAATATTTGTTAAAACAGATTTGCAAGAGTCCGGAACACAACCCCCAAACTCAGCAGTATACACGGTCTAAAGGGCATTCATATCAACAAAAAGGACTGGGCATAAACATGCTGAAGTATTAACACTAGTTGTCTCAAGGAGCGATTTTAATTATTTTCTTCAAATGTATCAGCACATTCCAAACTGTGTATAATGGACAGAAACAACTTTTATGAATGTTAGTTTAAACCCATATGAAATTGTCAATGTTCAATCATTTATGACTTTGAAAATGGTCATGTCACATAATCCAACCCAACAGAACAGAATTATCGTTTAAAAAAATAAGGGGCTGTTTTAAGATCAATAAAACTATTCCTATCCTTTGACTCTGGTTATTTTATTTCTTAGACGTTTCCTAAGGAACAAACCCAAAATGTGGAGATAGGTTTACATACAAAGTGTTCACTGCAAATTACAGAGGCAAAAGCTGGAAAAAGAATCCTAAATTGCTTGAAAATAAGGGAGTGGGTGGAAAGTTATGTAGATCTCTGAACTGATGTTTGGAAAACCTTTGGTTGACATGTCACGCTTCAGCGTTAAGTGAAAGAAAGCAGGATACACAAATATATATACACTGTCATCTCCACTCTGTAAAAAAATGCATTAAAAATAGGAAAAAATAAAGGTCTCTAAGGCAGGATGGAGTGTAGAAAGAACACCGTCTCGGAAGCCAAACCCTCCGGCTTGCTGAGCTCGGGTGGCTACCTGACTCCCCGGAGCCTGTCTGATCTGCCTTCCCCACTGGGCAGGACGAGATGAGACAGCGAACGTGAAGGCCCCGAGCTAGTGGGTCCTCACTAAGTGCCACGTGGCTAAGGCTGTTCTTGTCGTCATGCCCATCATCGTGGGGTCTAGATCACTGCTATCCTTTATATATCAATATTTGCATTTTCCCCAGTGTCTCCCATGAATATGCATTTCTTTTAAAATGACAAAAAACATAATCAAATAGTGAGGGTCACTATAAAATAAGAGCAAAGACAAGCCACAGACCAACGGAAGGTATCTGCAACCCACATGCCAACCAACGACTGAAACCTTTGAGGTCACTTGCAGATGACAAGACCTGCATAGCTGCCAACCCATGGAAGTGTTTGACCTTACTAATGATCAGATGGCAGAAGTTAGAACGCTAAACAACACCCAGGGACAGCAGGGATGTGGAGTGTCAGGAACTCTCCTGTGCCGCTCGTGGGGCCGTGCACTGGATGACCACTTAGGAGGCTGCTGGCGTTGTCTGGGAAGCTGAACGTGGAGCCACCCTCCCATCGGCAATTCCATGCAGAGTAGCTCCCGTGTGTGCACACAAGGAAGGGTGACTGGGTGCTTTGCTTGTAATGAAGGAAACTGAGAACACCCTGCATGCTCATTACCAGGAAGGGGACAACTGAATGGCAGCATGTTATTCTCAATAATATATTCAGCTAATAAATTGTGGTTTTTTTGAGACAGGGTCTTGCTCTGTTGCCCAGGCTGGAGTGCAGTGGCATGATCTCAGCCCACTGCGACCTCCGTCTCCCGGGTTTAAGTGATTCTCCAGCCTCAGCCTCCTGAGCAGCTGGGACTACAGGTATGCCTGCCACCATACACAGCTAATTTTATTTTTTTGGTATTTTCAGTAGAGATGGGATTTCACCATGTTGGCCAGGCTGGTTTTGAACTCCTGACCTCAGGCAATCTGCCCACCTTGGCCTCCCGAAGTGCTGGGATTCCAGGCGTGAACTGCCGCCTTTTCACAGCAGCTTAAGTTCGCGAACTAGAGCCAGCATGTGAGCATGGATAAATCTTAAAATCATCACTATAAGCAAGAAAAAACAAGTTGCAGATACAACATTCAATATACTATCACTTACATAAATCTCAAAAATAGTGTATTTTGTTTAGAAAGTCGTCTAAATGGCAAAGACGAAAAAAATCACAAAAAAGACAGTGTTTAGGAACCTGGAGTCCAGGCTTACAAATCAGCTCCACCCGCCTCTCACTAGCTGGGTAACTGTGGATAATACTTAAAGCCTCCGTGCCAAGGCCTCGTCTCTCAAGTGGGATATTAATAGCCGTATTTCATTGTGACCTCAAAATGACTACACCTGTTAACATACATACAAAGGACTAGGAAGAGTGGCGGGTCCACAGAAAACATGCTAAAGTGTTTGCTGCTGTTATTATTAACCTCAAACCTCAAAAACGTTCATGCTGTTTGCTTTAGTAATCTCACTTACCAGACCATCTTCTGTGATCCAAGATTCCTCAGAACTCTAAAACAACCAGATAAAACAAGCTCCCAAACTTATCTGAAAGTTAAAATAAAATGAAACAAAAATTCCCAACAAAGTAAAAGATGCATATTCACCTTCTAATACTCTGTGCGGAATTTCTACCAGGTTTTCATGTAGAACGAGCTAACTGCATGAGGTCATTGCCAATTTATCTGATATGGTGTTAATCAATTATCCATTTTGTAAAAACAAATTTTAGCTCATTTTCAAAGAGAGGCTTACGTGCTGCAGACATTCTTACCTCCTCAAAGAAACAGCTAAGGTTCTGGAGAAAATATTTCCAATTGATAGAGGGGGCCAGATGAATTCTTAGTTTCCTCAAAAAATAATGATACTGATTGTCTGTTAGGTTGTAACAGAAATCCTTAAGAACTTGTCCAAATTCTGTAGCCTTTACAAACCCTGTATCCTCTTTATCCAATGCAGAAAATGCCTAAAAAGAAAGAAAATTTAAAAAAAGATGGTAAATGCTACTGTCAAATGAATACTTCTAAAACACTTTCCTTAAGCACTGTTTCTGCTGAATGCAAATGAAACCTAGTGTAGAAAAGTATCTTGTAAATTCTAAATTACTAAATAAATGCACCATTATTGAAGGACTAAGACAAGTGAGATGGGAGCATCGCATGGGAGCTTATGAGTTCTAGAGGAAATTCTCCTTACTTGTCCGATTTGGATGTGGGGAGGAAGGAGAATAAAGAGGAATCCTGGTCCTGAGACCCTGTAACCTTCGCCATAGAAGCCTCCCCCCTGCTCCCAGGATCCCTGTTTTACAGAGTAGAGGGTAACTTGCCTAAGCTCTCCCGACCCTGACATTGCAGGTCCTCGAAGTATTCATTAGAGGGACCACTCTGACCCCACCCTGTCCTTCACCGCAAGGCTTATGCACCGAGGCTGCTGTCCACCAGCAACCAGAGCCCAAGTGGCCCCGCATCATGAGAAGCTGCCCCGTGGCTGTGCTGGAGCGGCTGCGGCACTCATTGCGAATCCTACGGTAGAGTCGCTAAACTGAAAAAGTGCAAAAATGTGCTATAAAAAGAAAGCACTTTTTTTTACCATCTGTCAAAATAAAATCATTCATTTTTATTGCACCAGGAAATCTGCACCCAGGGGTAGATTAAGAATCTTTTCTAAAGGAAGAATTTGGCGTGCCTGCAACCCAATACACCCTTGTGGTGAATGCTCACTGGGGACTAATTAGAAACACCCCATTGGCCCAACGGGTGATGGCATATGTGTAATCAAATCAAGCTTAAAATGTCAGATAGCTTCATGTTTTCATGTCGTCTGTGGTAACACGAGGTAGCTGTGCATAGTGGGAAATCCCCTCCCCCTCCTGCCAGAAATCGGCCTGGGAGCCTGGGCTGGGCTGCCCAGCGTGAGCCCTGAACCTTTCTAAACTTCAGCTTCTTCACTATACAGATGGAGCTAACTCGGAGGGTGGGTGTAAGTTTTCCTAAGTGTATATTGGGAAACGCCTCCATCCAGGTACCTGATCCGTGGGGATCTCGAAGGTGAAGGAGAACGGCCACCAACACGGACGCAGCCCACCGTGCCACGCAGCAGCGGCGTCGTGCTCGGCTGGCCGGGCAGCCGCTGCCCACCCGCCCCCCGCGCCGGGACTCCGGAGCCCACCGTGCCTCCCTGCCCCGAGGACGCTGGGGTGTGATTCGCAAAAAAACAAAACAAAACAAAACAAAACAAAACAAGTCTAAGTTTCAGGAGTGGAGAGTCAGGGATTTCCACGGGTCTTCCGTTCTTCGGCCCAACCTCCGGGGGTCCGATGCTCTCAGAGGGTCGCCAGCCTCGATCACCTCAAAAGCCAAGACACTGGGGCGGGTCCCGCACGGAAGGAGCGCGTCGCGGAGACCTTCGGACACGGAGGAGAAGGGCCGGGACCTTCCCCTCTCCCCTCGGGTCCGGGCCCCGCTCCGTGGTCCCCGTGTGCCCCCGGGCAGGTGTAGTCGCTCCGCGCCTCAGTTTCCCCTCCTGTAGAGCGGAATCAGGAGCCCCCCCCCCACACGGCTGCGATCAAACGGAAAGGGACCCGTGGACTCCCGTTCGGCCCGAGAAGCGCTGGAGGGCCGGGCCGGGGCTCCCCGCGTCACAAGGGCCCACGGCGGGGCTGAGGCGGCTCCCACGCCCGCCCTCCGCAGACGGCGTCGGCCTTCCCCACGCGGACCCGAGGGGACGCCCGTGGGAACGCCCCGCCACCAGGCGGCCGGCTCCACGCACAGCTGCCCCGGACAGCAGCAGGGCCCACGGCGCTACCCCGCACACACGCGTCGTTCCCCACGCGGGCGTCATTCGCTCCCCACGCGCGGGCGTCATTCACTCCCCACGCGCGGGCGTCATTCACTCCCCACGCGCGGGCGTCATTCACTCCCCACGCGCGGGCGTCATTCACTCCCCACGGGCGGGCGTCATTCACTCCCCACGCGGGCGACATTCACTCCCCACGCGGGCGTCATTCACACCCCACGCGGGCGCGTCATTCACTCCCCACGCGGGCGCGTCATTCACTCCCCACGCGGGCGCGTCATTCACTCCCCACGCGGGTGTCATTCCCTCCCCACGCGGGCGACATTCACTCCCCACGCGGGCGTCATTCACTCCCCACGCGGGCGCGTCATTCACCCCCCACGCGGGCGCGTCATTCACTCCCCACGCGGGCGACATTCGGTCCCCACGCGGGCGACATTCGCTCCCCACGCGCGGGCGTCATTCACTCCCCACGCGGGCGACATTCGGTCCCCACGCGGGCGACATTCGGTCCCCACGCGGGCGTCATTCGCTCCCCACGCGGGCGCCCCCCGCACACCGTCTGCAGCACCAGCAGCCGGAGCTGCAGAACGTCGGCCCTCGGTGGCGGCCCCGGCTCCCGGGGACGTCACGGCTCAGCGCAGCCGCTGCGCCCGACCCCTCCGGGCCCCGACCCCACCCCAGCCGCGGAGCCTCGCGGAGCACGTGCTGCCGCGCGAAGCCTCTTAGACGCCCCGAGGAGCACGGACGGAGGCGGCCCAGACGCGTTCCCACGAGGACGCGCGCAGCGGCCGTACCGCGGACAGGGCCGGGCGGGCGGACTCCACCACGTCGCGGACGCCCCTCACGGCCTCCTGCGGGGTCAGCGTTGCGAAGTTGACGGGCGCGCTCGCTCCTTTTTCCCCGGACGTGCGGCTCTCCAGCGCGCTCAGGAGGTCGAGGCAGTTGACGGAATTCTCACGCCGGCTGACTCCCCAGCTTGCCCCAAAAGGAAGAACAGAACACAGTCATTTAAAAAGCCACCTTTCTGCCTGTTCATTCAACCAACGGTTGCTGAGCATGGAGCAATGCGAGGAAAATGAGTCATGTGAAGACACCGTCCCCTGCCCTGCAGGTGCAGACACGGCCGTTGGCTCTGCCCTCAGGCGGGCGCGGGCATGGGACGGAGCGCGCTGCTCACTGCCGGCTGCGCGGCCGCAGCTGCCCGGTCTGAGGACCTGAGGCCTGAAGGCTGCACACAGCAGGGTTCGTGGCCTTGCACGAGATGGTGAGGCAGGGGTCTGGCTGAGAACCCAGCCCCGTGATGGGGGCACGTGAAGACGTGTTGGCAGGGATGTGACATTCCCAGAGCAGTATCGTGGGAAGATAAATCTGACGGCGGCTCAAAGACGGTCTGGAAGGGAGACTGTGGGGCGGTGGCAGTGGCGAGAGAGCAGGAGCCTGCATGGGAGGCTCCTGGGGTCATGGAGGCCTTCACTAAGGAGGGCCTGGACTTAGAAACGGCAGTGGGATTGGAAAGAAGGGAAGCATGCCAGAGAGTGAAAAGAAGAGGAGGAACAGAGTAAGACGGTACATGCTTTCAGGAGTGGTTGAAATGAAGCGGTCAAACTCAGAGCACTCGAAAGACGTTTTGCAAAACCTCTCTAGCTGAGTATTTTCTCCAATAAAAAATCCACCTGCATAGATGGCTCAGCAAGGACATCCCTGTGGAAACAGAGGTTCCTGGATCTCCTTGACTCTAACACAGAAGAAATTACTTAACGTTCTGGAAGACTAAATTGTGAGGTAAAATCGGAAAGTCTCATGGAACATACAGTGTATGTATGAAAGATGCAAAATAATTCAAAATCAAGTTTAATTGCATTCTAAGTTCACATTTCTACAACTTAAATTCCTGGGGGGATTGCTGGCACTTAAACACCTCAACTCTTTCTCAGCAGGATTTTGGGTACAAGCGTCAGCCTGGAAGAGCTTGGAATGCTGGTAAGTGGGAGAGAGAAGTTTCCAGTGCCTCAGATAGCTGCTTCTAAAGAAGACGAGCCAAAGCTGAGCTATTCCAGCCCACAGCTGCAGAGCCGTCTTGCACAGGCCCTGCATCAGGTCGGCTTGCGTGATGGAGACATGGAGGAAAAGGACAATCAACACTATTTCATCAGCGGGATAAATTGCCAACGTGGTATTAAAATGTAGTAATAAAATCATATGCATATGCTAATCTCAGTCGTATTTAGAAAAGTCTATTTTGGATCTAGAAAAGAATAATCTACATATAATTACAAATAACAGAGATGTTTATCATCAAGAGGTCTTTGAGAAGAAACAAGCAACTGAGCAATGGATCCTTATTAAGGTTTCAGTGCATAAAAAAGTTGATCACCCCCATTGAAAGGTGCGCTACAGACATCCCATGGTCCTTTTGTTGTTGTTTATGAAAATATCAAGCCTAACTATGTTTTAACAAGAATTTCTTATAATCATTTGGTTTATTTTCTGCTGCTACTTTTCCATGATTTATTCACTGAATGCACATGAATTTTTGTTCAGCTGGAACTAGATTCAGTGAGAGGAGATCCTGTTTAAGGAAGAAAAAATATATAGGCATTTGAGGATGAAATGGTGCTATATGCGTGCACACACACACCCACCCACCCAGCCCGGCATTGGACTTCTCAGAGCTCAAACACAATGGATTAATGTCTTCAGGCTTTTAAGAGAATTAATTTTCTTCCTAAGACGCTATGTTCAGACAAGGCAGCCATGCGTGTGAAGAAGAATTTTTAAAGTTTCAGTTCAGTAAGAACTCAGAAAATTTACTTCCTGTCCACCCATTCTTAAGAGATTACTTCAGGAAGTATTCCAGCAAAAGAAGAATGTAAATCAAGAAATAAAGAGATGCGGGATATAGGAGATGGGGGATTCAACCGAGATGACCGTGGAGGCAGTGCAGGATGCTCTTGGGATCACAGACCTAGAGCAGGAAAATGGGGGACCAGGTTCTCCAACAGAGATGCCGGGGAAAAAAACTCAAGAGAGCAGAAAGTGAATAGAAAGCTGGGGAACCCTGAAGGTAAAAATTTTGAACTTTATTTGAGCTCTGTTCTAGAAAAAAGTGATGGTTAAAGAAATCACCCCAACCTTCATGTCCCTGGATAAGGCTACTGCAAAGAACTACCTTTTCCCCGTATGACTTAGAAAAGATTCATAGATGTCCCAAGATTTACCTCTAATAACCAGGACACAGACACTCTAAATTCCCATTCTCATTCTCATTCTCATGAATTATTAGCTGAACTGTTGGTACCCACTGACTAATCTGGACAAAATACCTGCTAACTGACCACAGTTTAGTCAAATCACTCTCCTTTCTCCAGAACCTTGAAGTTGGACCCATCTCAGCCTAAACCATCATCAGAATGCGGAATAGCTCCTCTCTGATGGCTCCTCAAGGACTCTGACCACAGAAAAGATGTTTCTTGCCAAGCTGTCTGATCACACCATCCATTCATCTTACTCCCCATGCTTGGTTCTTTCTATCCTTGCTTACTCTTCCCTTTTAAAGAAAAGCCCTCTTCTGCTTGCTCTTTGAGATGCTTACAGACTTCATGGTTGGGGCGTTCTCTCTTTTATAAGAATCTCCCTCTCCCTGTTGCAGTAGTCTTTTCAGATAAAGTCTCTTTCATTTAAGTATGACTTTGTCTTTCACAAGGTAAAACAAAAGCAAATATTGTAAGGAAGATGAAGACTAAATTAAACTCCAGGAAAGAACCTATCCGATAAAATCATAGCATAGACATGAAAACAAATTTGAAATGTTGCTATGGTCTGACTATTTGTGCGTATCCCCAAAATCATATGTTAAAATGTTACCTCCGTAAGGTAATGGCCTTTAGCAGCGAGGCTTTGGGAGGTGATTAGGTCATGAAAACAGTCCTCATGAATGAGATTAGTGCCTTATAGAAAAGGCTGGTGGACGAAGGTGGGGAAGGTGGGGGTGAAGAAGCCCAGGGAGACTCTGTCCCTTCTGCCACATAACGGTTACAGTGAAAAGACAGACATCTATGATCCAGGGCATTTTCACCAGACACATAAATCTGCTGGTACCTTGATTTGGACTTCCTCGCCCTCCAGAACTGTGAGAAATGAATTTCTGTTGTTTATAAGTACACAGTTTGATATTTTTTAAATAGCAGCCCAAAGGATCTCAGGACAAATGTGGTATGATTTCAGCAATGGTGTAAGTATATCAGTAGAAACCTCCCAAATGAAATGCAAAGAAAAAAAGAAGGGGGGTGGGCGATAGACAGATCAAGACTATCCCACAAGACTGTGGGAAAACAACTTCACTAAATATGTAACATCTGCACCATTGGACATACAGACACGAGACAGAGAAATAAGCAAATACACCACGAAATCAGACATACAACAGACAACACAGACAAAAACCCCACTTTAAATTATAATGGTAGAAACATTTCCAAAATCTCATGACAGACAGCAAATCACAGATCCAGGAAACTCAGAGACCACCGAAGCAGGATAAATGCAATCTACACCTAAAACATATATGCTTCCAAAGTGGAGAAAACCATCAAAGACGAAGAGAAAATCTGAAAGAGCCAGAAAACTCTTAGGAACAAAAATCCCTATCTCATAGAGGATTACAGAAAGATAATGAACTCCTAACTAGATCAGACTCTTGCACGAAATCATGACAAGCAAGAGGCGAGTGGACTGAAATATTTGAAGTGTTGAAATATTCTCGCCAGTTGAAGCTCTAGAACGCTAAATCCAGTATCTCTCGTCGAAAAATAAAGGAGAAACTAAAGACCTTCTCAGACAGACAACACCGAGCCACTTCATCTACCGAGCAGGCCTACCTCTCAAGAAAATGAGAAAATAAAAAAGCAGTCTTCACGAGACAAGAGAGAAGGAAACATTCCACCACAGGTCTACATCAATAAGAAAGGGTGTCAGAGAGGAATATCAATAATGGTCAAAA